CTGGCACTGGGAAGTCGTCCTTATTTATTTGAAATACTTTCCTAGAAACGCGACCGTAGCATAATGTATACTTCTTCATTGTCCGTACCATTGATTTGGTGTTCTTGCCGGKGGGGGGSGGGGATTCCAACTCTCTTTTGTGTGAGTTGTGGAAGTGTAAAAGCTATCGAATCGATACGCTGAAACTTCTCCGCAACAAGGTAATCGAGCGGGCAAATTCAGCACGTTTTTTGTCGCTTCTTAGATTGTCTCTCTTTTTCCATTTCCTCTACCGAAAATCCAGCCCTGCTCGAAGACAACCCTCGATTCAAAAGTCCTTGGCCGGTGATTCTGGTTTTCTTGCTTTTATTATTCCTCGTCTTTATGTTATTCGTTTGTTTTTGCTTATCTGTATTCTGCTCGTTGTTGCTGCTGCTGTTGCTGTTGCTGTTCCCATTATTTCCTCGCTGCCGTTTACGTTTGGTTTTGCTGCTGCTGCCTCTTCGGTTTTGCTGCTGCGCCGCCTGGTACTGTTTTTGCGGGTTTGGTTGCTTTTTCGGTCTGTCCCTGCCCCTTTTCGGATTTGCAAAGTCGCTCTTGGGACCTAGGACTCGATCCGACGAAAACCCACCGGGGGGCTCTGGCCAGGAGTTCGGTCGTTCCACCAAAATATCTTCTGTCGTAGCCATGCGCAAGAGATACCGGGCGGTGGTACCCTTTCTCCCCCGTCGGTCATTCGAGAGTTTTCGAATTGGTTTCTTTCCAAACCTCCACGTCATGCAGCCCAAATCGATGACGGTGCTGCTTGCGGTAGCGGGGGAGGTTGYATCCTTGTTGTTCTTGGAAGCTTCCGTACTTTCGTCTGTGGGGGTTGTTCTRGACGGTGGCGGAGAGGGCACCTCGTTGGCCAGACACACCAGAGCCCTCGCTGCCGAGTGCTTGCTGCCGTAGCAAATGTTGCAGTTGACGTCTCCTAGCCACTCGATGTACTTGACAGGGCCGTAGGACTCCCCGAAATGCTTTAAGAGATCGTCGTTGCCGATCTGCTTGAACGCGGCCCAATCGATCGCCGAGACATGAATCTTGTCTTCGACCCAGGTTGCTGCCTTAGTGGTTTCGTCGTACATGGCGAAAGGATTGGCGGGATTTTTGAAGGTTTCGATCGTCTCGGCATTCGATGGGCATTCCTTCCACAAATATGGCGGGGGATCCCTTCGGACGGGACGCAGCATCGTTTCCTTGTCCCAGGCTTGTTCCACCGGTAAACCATCCGTGACGGGAACAGGACGATTCTGGGTGGTTCTCGAGGCTGCCTTGTCCCCTCCGTCGGTTTTGGATTCCGCTGWWGCTCCGGTAGCAAACCGCGCCAGCCTAGCTTCTCGCTTCGAAACCTCTTTTGGGTCCAAAAAGTCGATATCGCCAGCCACGAAATCAGATGGATTCGAACCGGTCGCCGGCGTCTCTTGTTGCTTGCTCAAAAGCAATCGCTTGGCCATAGTCCAGGGAAGAAAATCCTTCATGGGCTGTTCTTTGTACTGGGTGCCGTATTTCTGGGCTCGCCGCTTGCGAACGAGACATTCCGCCTTGTATTGTTCCATATACCGTTTGAGCTCGAGTGTTTCTGTGTCCTCGTCGATGTCCATGGATGAAGAATCACACGCGACTGGTGGGAGACAAACAATTGGCAATTCGTCCTGTGGGGGGACTTCCTTCAAGGCACTTTCGAGGCACGGGGGGACGTTTGTCACCACCAGGTTTCTAATCTCGGTAGAGTCACCATTGTGATGTCGCGTGTCGTTTCCAATGCCAACGTAACGGACCGGAAGCAGTGTGCCGGCGGCTGCAGGATTCTCTCCTTGCTTTTGCGCTTCCATGATACCAAAGCATTGCTTTCCTGGAATGCAACCCATGCCGACGTATACATTGGAGTTTGACAAACAAATCCAATACGATGTCCAGCATGCGTTGTTACCACCGTCTTCGTCATCGGAAGTTTTCGTGTTGACCCCAAAGCCACGACAGACACGAGATGGGATCGTCACCGCGGCAGAGAATTTTGATTTTGTCTTGGATGATCGCGGTTCTTTGTCACCCTTGTCAACGAAGACAGAACGCCGAATCGTCGTCGCGGTATTCTTATTGGTTCCCAATACAATCTCGTATCGAGTAGAAGTATTAGAATCACCATTCGCGGTTTCAGCAATTGTTTGGGCATCAGAGTTCTGGGCAGGAACGTTGTCCGTCATTCCGATTTCTTCCTTTTGCTGTTCCTCTTTCGATTCCTCCTTACACTGTTCATCTTTCGGTTCCTCCTTTTCTTTTTCCTCTGTCGGTTTTTCCTCGTGCTGTTCCTCTTCCGGTTCCTCTTCCTGTTCCTCTTCCTTACCTGTGTCATTGCCTGTGCCAGTGTCAGTGCCATAGTTAGCATAATACGAAGGAAAGGATGACAATACCACCGCTATCGACTCGTTTGCTTTGGCCTGGAACATGACCACCATTCCATCCAGATCGTCCGTTTTCAAATCTTGGTGAAACCTCRYATTGCGATTTCGAAGGTTGCCCCGACGGCCCCTGCCGAAGTTGTGGCTGGGTTGGGCCGACAGGATCAACCGGGTCTTCGCGCAAAGCGAAACACCCGCAACATCGTCCTCAKTCTTTTCTATGCCGTTTTCTCTGTCGCTACCACCGGTGTCGTCATCCSCTTTCACGGCCCAGTCCCTATCGCTATGGGCTCTCCAAAACCTCGAGATGAACCTGCATTCCGAAATGGAACGGCATATTTTTGGAACCGATGCAGTGTCGTCCGCAAGCTTAGGTGGGATTTCATTGTCGTCCCTTTTCTCGGTGTTCTCCATRGTTGYTCCTGCGGKTAACTACGTTCTCGTTCCGTTGGCGTATACTACAGGTGTGAACACAGTTTGCAGTCTGGAAATGGGTCACTATTGAGTTGATGTTGTGCCTTTCGTCGCGAAATGTAAAAATCAATGTTGTTTGATTGTTTTATCTTACCTACAAGTTATGGCTACTCGTACGTACCGTAGTACCGTAGAGTAGGACGATGGCAAATTGTTCCAACTGTGAGGACAAAGCACAATCACGAGTAGCTGCGTACCTACCTGGTTGTTGCCAATGCGAACAACGCATGAGGCATCCGGTTAGGGAATGCCGATAGGTGAAAGCAAGCCGAGCAAGCAAAAAGCTTGATCGCGGATTCGAACCACGGACCTCTTCATTACTAATGAAGTGCTCTAACCAACTGAGCTAAACAAGCGAAGAGACACAGATGACCATGACGGGGCTCGAACCCGCAACCTTCAGTTTCGAAGACTGAAGCTCTACCATTGAGCCACACGGCCGAATCTTGCTGCCATGCAGTTGGGTTTCAGCAATCATAAAATCATAATTTCCAACGATTGAGATGATTCTTGCATCTACAAGGGAAGCTTGCAAAGATGGGATGGAATCAAACCACATTAAATCAATTGTCATCCTGGTACATGTAGCCAAGGAAGCAAACAATCGACTCACTTGCTTGCTACTAGCGAAGATTTCTCGGGGGACCATTGCGATGSCTCCCGCTGTTGAAGCAAGGATCGCCTAGCATGTGGAATATGACTGGATGGACAAATCAAGAGAATGCAAGCCRGGTGAACTGGAGCACTTAGATAGTCTCACCAGAAAGGGACTAGGCTAGGTATGAAGGAAGGAAGCTAGTATATCGTATAGTGTGGGCCTCGCATTTCCGGCCGACCCAGTCGTACATTAGCAATTCAATATATTCGTAAACGTATATCAGTCAATATTCGTCGTAAGCCGTACTCCCCCACAGCATTAGAAAGCTCTTTGAATGCTCTTTTTAACCATGTGCTTATCATACTTAAGCGTCCGTTGGGGAAAAAAGTTATGGCTGTTTGAGTGAGTTGAACCTCTCTTTAGCTGCCATCTAATTACCGTGTAATGACTCTTGGGATTAAAATTTGACTTGTACCAGGGCTACATTGTGCACGTGCAAGCAAAACTATTATGCACGTGCGAGCAAAACTCTTTTTGGTGGGATTCAAAAATTCGATGTACTGAGCACGTGGATTTTGTATGTATAATTTTTAGTCAAAGTAGTCATTACACGGTAATTAGATAGCCAAAAATCTACGACTGGGTCGTACATTAGCTGGCCAACTCTATACGATAGGTATGAATAATACATGTTGAGGAGCTTGATAAAAGGTATCTTGAGCAGGTTAGATGAACAGCTGTGTTCATCAAGCTGGTAGAGTTAAGCA